CCCCCCCCCCCCCCCTCCTTTATTTCTTTGGTTAATCTTTGGAATTTCACGTTCATAAACATACTAATTACGACCACGCCCACGAAAGAAAATCTTTCCAAAATTACAGATTCTGGCTTATAATAAAGACGACATAGTGTCGATCGATATTGAAAAAATAAAAACATGTTCATATCAGAACGAAATACAATAAAATATACATTTGCATATAGATGTATGTATGTATGAACAAAGAAAAGTCCAAGATTTCGTCCCGACCGTAAGATCATAAGAGAAAACTTTGTTCAGGGTTCTAAAACGACACAACAGATATATCACAGTACACTTTATTACATTATCTTCCAAATTCTGAGCGTAGTGGGTGCACCTTATTAAATTGGTTCCAATCCGTGCATGAATCATATGATAGATTGTGAGGCTATTAATAGTATAGATGTACGTACATTCTGCCACAATTATACGTGCGTCGTCTGTATTCCTAATTGAAGGCAGAGAATACAATTTCAACATTTGCATGTGTGTATATATATATATATATATATATATATATGCGCGTGTGTGCAAAGACTGCATGTCTATGTGTACAATAGATATTCCCAAATTCGTCAATTTTAAAATGAAAGAGAACGATATGATTTGTACTATGAAAACAAAGGTCTGTAGTCTAATAATTTAAATTCTATTCACTTATTAAAAAAAATTAAATTCAAACAATGATATCGGCGATATATGTGTGCACGGATATTTGAATTATCTCATCCGATCTTTTGTCGAATTATGACAATCAAAATTAATATTTTTCTTTCCGACTAATCTAATTAATATCGGAAAATAAATAATTAATGGAGCATCTCTAATCAAGTAAAAAAGAGCACCTTTGCTAAAGAAATTCGATCAAAGTTAATATTCCCGTAATGATGAGTTAAGTACAAGTGACATTTGAAAAGCAAAATACTTTTTGCTTTACCCATTTATCGACATCCAACGTTTATATTATCAAATAATACAGCTAACAATTATTTTGGTAAACCGGATTAGGCCGGTTTTCGTATGACATTATGTATTCCTTCAGAAAGAAGACAGGAGTATTCCACACACACACACATATTATATATATATATATATATGTACATATATAAATTTTCTGCTTAAGTAGAGATAGAAATATTGCCAGGATTCATTTCGTGGGTCATCACCTGCGAAATTTTGTAAATACAATAATATACGAAATGCTTATTTATATGTATTATGTATATAAATGAATTTAAGATGAGTTAATAGGATATATATAATATTTCACAAGATTGTCAATCGAAAAATTTGATAAAATCTTAGTTATATGAATTCCGAATAAAATATCCAGATGCCGCGACGTCAACTGTTATAATAAATGCACATGAATAATTAGCGATCCAAGATATATTTATGTTCGGAAGTCACACAATGAAATTTTGCACGGAGAGTGGTCACAAGACAGATTTTCTAATGGGAATGATATCGTTGCGTGGAAAACAAATAAAGTGGAGAAGGGGGTTTGTTTGGGAGCGAATCGTACGCACCAAAAAGGCCCCTCCTCCTCCACTTTGATACCACGAAATAAAGATGAATTACTTTTATATATATATATATAGTTAATCGGTTATCATAAATCAATATTCAGACTAATTTCGGGATTGGGAGCCAACAAAGTGTTTTGGAATATACACTCTCTTTCCAAATTTGAGATTCGAATTTGGGATAGGTAAGACAGACGTTTTGCGTCTCATTTCACCGGTTGAACTATCCAATTGTGGATTATATACATATACATTAATTAGTGATATATATGGATAATGAGTCCCATATTGCTTAAAATTAACTCGTATAAAATTAATAATTTTTTTTTATCGTATTGGTAATCGAAAATAAAATTTTATAGATCTTTCACGGGTAAATGTTTTTAATCGTATACCATTCGGTTGTTTAGATATCCATGTTTATCTCCTAACACAGTAATTAAAACAAATAGTTAACTGGTAAGCATAATTATGTGTTTTATTCTTACTGCAAACGTCTTAGTTGAGATTTGACGTACAATATTATCTTATTTAAAGTGTTGTTTCTTGTTTTAGTAGATTTCAACCTAATATATAAAAAGACAAAAAAAAACTAGACGTTTTTAATTTGCCATGTTTCGTGGATTTCATAGATTTCGTCTACACCAGCGTTGCGTGCATTAATTTTCTAATTTTTTATGTTTAATTTAATATACAAATGACGTTTATTTCGAATATTACGTATCAGTCCAGAGTTAATTCAATCATTTGCGTTATTTTTTTTTTTGTAACTATGGGGAACCCCTATGACTACCTACCCTTACAAACGGAGACGAACTGGTCACCACCCGCGCCTAACAATCCCCATAGACCTCGGTCCGCCGGACCTGGCCACCAGGCGCGCCTTCGTCAAATCGGACCCCTTCGTCATTTGCGTTATTTTCTCAAACCCCTTCGTCAAATCGGACCCAAGAAATGCTCTAATATTTTTACCACGATCAAATATTATCGTATAACATACAAACAACCCAATGAAATAAAATTTTCAAATATTGGAGTCACGGATCTCGCATGCGGCAATTAATGGACTGAAAACCCACAAAACAAACAATTTTCGCATTGTTTATTTTTTTCACAATAAAATAAATAAAATGTATGTTTGGTCCGGAGCGAGGAGGACCTCTGTATCTGCATGGTTTCCCAAACGAGACAAAAATGCAGGGGATTTTGCATGCATGGTGAAAGAGAAAGGGAGAAACACAATAATAGACGAATCATTAAACACGAGAATTCATTCGTATAAATAAATACTTACATATACAGTGTAATGTGTAACGGACATGCATACGAATATATGAAAGAGGTATTATATATATATATATATATAACGTTGTCTGACAATTTAAAGCAAAATCTAAGTTAGATTTTGCATGCAGAGACAGACCTGCCATTTTTTTTTTAAAAGACAGTCCGACCATAAATTCCCAATCCTACATATCGAGGAATGAGACCAGTGATAAAGTGTTTGTCTCTGGTTTTAATCTTTATAAAAAATTATTATTGAGTTGTAAAATAACAAAGTTTATGGAATGTACTGAAAATGACAAGACAAGTACCCATTTTATTTAAACATGCAGTTTTTATTTAAAATATATTATGTGGACAGGTTGGTTCAATTTCCTTTAAATTTCACCCAAAATGGGGTCTGATCTCCAAATTCTGTAACCTTATTTATGGTTCATATAAATAGAAAGTGTTTGCGTGTGAGGTTAAATAAAATCTGTACTTTCGTTTATTTTTATTTTTATCGTTAAAAGTGCAAGAAAATATTACCAATTTCAAGAATAAATGGGCATTTGAGCCCATTGGATAATTAATTTGATGGCAAAAATATTCCAAGTTATAAAGCCCATTTTGATGGGCTCCGGCGCAGGTTTTACGCGGGCCCTCATTTCTTCATCTCATATTCTTAAGTTATAAAGCCCATTTTGATGGCAAAAAAATATATGTACGTGCGTGTACGTGGAAGTATACCACATGTGAATGTTTATACTTGTCGTTTATTATGCATATTTAATTAGATAAAACAAAATAATCAATCACGATTATAGGACCTGAATTTATGTGAAACAATCTTAAAATAAAAGGGAACAAGAAGAGGGAAAGGTGCGGTGAATGCATATGGAGACCCATGTGAAGAAAAACAACAAGCCCTCCAAATTGAAATGTGTTAATGGAAACCCATGCTTTTCTGTCTTTGTGGATTTTCTTAAAACCCTAAAAATTTTACGTATTAGCTAACAAAATAAAAAAATTATAAAATCCACTAAAAAAAATCCGATAATGAAATTGGATGATCGCATTAGCTATGACCAAATAATTGTCGGAACAATGTTGATTAATTTGTCAGCTTATCGAACGCTAAATGTATTTGTCGGCAATTTGTGCAAGTTGGGTTTGGAACTTTGAACTAAAATGGTTCAAACATCATCGAAATCAGCTTTTTAGGTAACCGAATACCCTATATCGAAACCCAAAATAATCCCAAGATCGGAAGTAAGCAATATGATTATTGAATTACGTTTCACTCCCAATACAAGTTTTAACATTCTCGTTTCACCGGTTGATAAATCAATCGATGTAATATTTATTCGAACTTGACAACTCCATAAATTTCAAAGTAAACTTCACTTAAATGTATATATTTTAAATCATGTGAATTGATTTCGTTTCCGAAATTAGTTTGAACTTCGACCCAAGATATCTGATTAAAAAAAAACTATTTTAAACAATATATATATAAGAGTTGTCTATATATTTGTTTTTTAAATGCTACCGTAATATTTGGCATTTTAATGTTTCGATAAATAGATAAGCTGCCTATACAAATTTATTTTGTTTTTAAATAATTAATTTTTTACATATATTTATTGATATTTATTTCGTATCTATAAGTATTAAAGTCGAAGATGCATTTATATAAAATTGCCAAATAAAATATCTTTTTACAATTAATATACAATATATACTTTTGTAATGATTAATCTACAATACGTTCTTTTATGAGGAACTACAAATTGTTATGTTATTATCTGTTAATTAATTTTATTAAATTTATTCTCGAAATTTTAATATTTGCATCAATGGTAAAGTAAAATATCTAAAGGAGCTTGTGCTATTGATATTTCAGAGGGAAAAAAACGTGGATAAATATGTTCTAACATGTCGGAAATCCGGATTGTGTGTTCTGGTACCGTTCTTGTCTCCTCTCCAAGGGTTCATCTCTCACTCTCTCCCCAATTATCATTTTCCTCCGGTTCGAAAAAAATATCTCAAAATTCATCTCTCCAGTATAAACCAAAAAAAAGTTCTTCCTCGTTCTCCTCCCTTTCTCTCTCTCAAGCGTCTTCCTCCCATGGCAGCAATCTCAGAAGTGATTATCTAGCTTGTTGGTCCTGTACCCTTTATGGATCTCGGGGTTCGGGGTCAAGGGTTTGTGTCGGGTCATGAAGACGGAGCTCCGACCCATTCGGAACTTGGATCTGGGTTTGCCAGACAAGACGGATCCGGGTTTGGCGGCGAAGATTATTGGCGGAGCTCGAAGCTGGCGAGGACCGAGGACTTATCCGGCTGCAAAACGCTGTCGTTTCATCAAGGCATTCCTCTCCTAAGATCTACCTCTCTGATTTCATCCGATCCTAGCCGGCAAGAGAGCATGCTTAGCTTCTCTTCAGACAAATCGGAAGCTCTGGATTTCAGTAAAGATGGCGGCTTGGTCAATAAGAGCCATCTCTCCCCGTATCTTCAGCAGTTGCCCTCTTCTTACAGTAGAAATGCAGGTCCGGATGCACTTTTTTTACCACTCGGTTACTTCTTTTTTTCACTTTTTGCTATAAAAAAAACCTTTTTCGTTCCCCCAAAGCAACGTATGGGTTATGGTTACAGCACGATTCGCCGAAATGGGTCTCTGTAAAAATCTGAACTTTGAATCCCGGATTAGGGTTTATCTCTTAAATCCCGTATGCATTTTGTGTGTGAAATAAAGGAAATGTTTTCGAAACAGGAGGTATGATGAACACAGCCATGCATGGGAATTTCACTGGGGTCGGAGGACCTTTTACATTGATGCAGTGGGCAGAGTTAGAGCAGCAGGCGTTGATCTATAAGTACATCACCGCCAATATCCATGTTCCTCCTAGTTTGCTTCTCTCTCTCAAGAAGTCCTTTTACCCTTACGCTCCTGGATCCTTGCCTCCCAATTCCTGTAAGTTTACGTTTTCTTCCTGGTCTCTTCATGATAAAGATGGAGTCTTGATCGTCTGTAGAGGGTTGTGTGTATCTTGTTATGAATGTGTTTTGGCTGCAAATAGGTGTCATTGATCTTATATCATGCCAGCTCTTGGATTCTGTCCAATTCTGTTCAAGCCCATTTGTGTACGGATTCAGCAGTATTGCTAATCTAGCCGAGGTTTTTAGCTGTTTTGTGATTCTATTGTAGGATTCCTTTGCAAGATTCATGCTTTGTGGGGATGACGATGATGTTGTTGGTGAGTGTTAAACTAAAGGACTTGGTTCTTGTTTGTGCAGTCGGATGGGGATCTTTCCATCTCGGTTTCTCTGGCGGCAACATGGATCCCGAGCCCGGGAGGTGCCGGAGGACGGATGGGAAGAAATGGCGGTGCTCGAGAGATGCTGTTCCCGACCAAAAGTACTGTGAGAGACACATCAACCGAGGCCGCCACCGTTCAAGAAAGCCTGTGGAAAGCCATTCTGGCCACACTGCTGCTGGTTCCACCACATCCAAGGCGGTCACACCGTCATCGGTGGCTGTGGATCGGGGCAGAGGTCAAGCCAATCCTTCTACAGATCCTCTTGCTAACAGGTGAAAGCTATCCCTTTTTTGTATGGTTACATTCTTTTTTGTGTATTTGTTTATGAATGTTCATGCTGTCTCCTTCCTTTTTTTTTTCCTTTTCACTAAGAGTAGACCCACCCATTATTTCCTCTTTTATCCTTTGATGATTGTGACTATTTCCTCATAGTTGGGACTTTGGATTCCATGTTTCGGAAACTTTTACGGTCTCTACTCTTCTTTTCGTCCGTCTTTTTCTCATTTTCATCGCGTGGTAGTGAAAAAACAAATGAATCTCAAGTCTTGACCCCCTGTCTTATCCGGAATTTTTGGTACTGACTGCATTTTGTGTCTGAATTTTTGCTATTTCCAATGTAATCTGTGTCGACATAACCCCTAACCTGCAAGCTTCTTCGTTGCATGGCAGAGTTCAAAACTCGCGGGGAGCATCCATATTTCCTCCCACCATCAGCTTGCAACCCAAGGAATCTCCTGCGGCTCCTCAAAAACAAGAAAACCCTTTTGAATTCGGGTTCATCTCCTCTGATTCCTGGCCGAACCCATCACAGAAACCGCCCTCTATGGACTCTGCTAAAGGCTTCGGGTCCTATCTGGACTTTACCAGCCAAGAAAAACAAAACTCCAGCAATCAAAACATTGTCTCGTGGCCCGAAGAGCTGAAGCCAGATTGGACGCAGCTGTCTATGTCAATCCCTATGGCTTCGGCATCATCATCTCCCTCACTGTCGCCCCTAAGGCTATCTCGTGAGTTCGACCCGGCAATCCAGATGGGTTTAGGAGTCAACTGCGAGGTTACTGAACCAGTCAAGAAGGTCAGTAATTGGATACCGATCTCTTGGGGAAATTCTTTGGGTGGTCCTCTCGGCGAGATGCTGAACAGCACGAGCAACAGCCCCAAGTTGGGATCTTCCCCGACAGGTGTCCTGCAAAAGTCCAGTTTCTGCTCACTTTCCAACAGCAGTTCCGGGAGCAGCCCTGTCCCTGTGGGCGGCCAGAACAAGAAGGGCGGCGACAGAGACGGGCTCTGCGAGGATTTGCTGTTGAACTGTGAAAACAACAAGTAGTTCCGTGGTGGATCTGTGAAACTGAAAGTAGTTCCATGATGGATCTGTGAAACTGTGAGTAGTTCGGCAGTGGAAACCTGTTTTGTTTCTTCGCTTGTAACCTCTGTTTGTTTCTCCTTCTTATGTTTTGTTTTGTTTTTCTTCTTCTTCTGGAATCAGAGGAGAGAGAGAGAGATGGGTTTCTAATGTTTTGTACGGCCACCATCTTTCTCCGATTTCGATTTTCTAAATCCATGGTTTTTTTTTTTGGGTTATGAACAAGATTTGTCTCTATTTTCTTGTCATCTCCTGTTTTTCATTTTCTCATTGCATGTAACTTATCATTTTTTATGTCACGTAATGGCCTTTGTACATGTTATTAGAGAGGAGAGGTCTCCTACATGCGGACAGGAGGCAGGATTGTGGCTTGCCATTGAAACACACAACAGCAACTCTCCACACTTTCTAAGTGTTTTGCCACTTTTGGGTCCCCCTAACCAATTAATAAAAGAATCTCTTATCCTTTTTATGTTTTCGGATTCTTGTCGGAACAAAATTGTTTCTGAAATATATATAAAAGAGGAAAAAGGATAGACAGATGCATATAATGTATGGACCCGACTCCTAACGCCTCGAAATAGGAAGCAAGCATGGTCCATCCTCTCATTATTTTGATTTTTTTTTTTTACAATCCGATTCTTCTGCCCGTGGCATGTGCTGTGTGAGCCCACTTGTGCTCGGGTCTTGTTTATACGTACATCAGTGCCACCTTTTAAAAACAAAATTTATTACCCATCATTAATAATACGAATAAAAAAAATAGAAGAAACTAGATTGTATAAAATTATCATTATATTTCATTTATACAAATTAATTTTAATTATTAAAACTAATCTCAGCCATAGAGACACTCGATCATGCGTGGGGTTACGTCTTTATCTCTTTGTTTTTTTTTTCTCGTGATTTTCTATATACCAAAAAAACGAAGTCTTTAACGTATTGTGTTTCGTTTCTTTCTGAAAAAAAAAGAAAAAGAAAACAGATGATACGCATAATTGACGGAATATAAGGAGAAAATAGATGTAGCATATAGTAATTTTTTCATACTCGTGGGCCAAGTCTAGGGCTTAACAGAAGATGGGCCACGCGGCCCAATAATCCTACGGCACATGACCAATAAGCCTATATTGTTTAATGTCTTTACGTGGACCGTCACAAAAACCATATATTAAAAAACATATGTTAGATTGTTGCTGCCGGAGCCAAATTGGCTGATTTAAACAAATCGATATTAGTTCATATATAATAATTGAGATACACTTTGGTGATATAATATCTCTCGTATATTATTAGTTCTTTGTAATAACATTAGTGGCGTCACAAAGTCATCATGGAAGTGGACATATAATGCTTTAGTTTTTTTAAATAAAGAAATATACAATTACAATTATATAGCGTCGTGACGCATGCAATGCATGGTGTTAGCTCGTGGAGGGAAAAAAAAACCCAAAAAGCAATCTTTTTTTCTTCCTCGTAGACAGAAGAAAATACCAACATCCTTCTTCCCTAACACCCTGTCACTTATTACAGAGAGATAGGTTTGATTTGATGTCTGAATCTCTTTTTTTTGGGGGGGCTTGTTCTAAGTATTTGTTTATATAATTTGATGGATTATCGATGATGGGTTTTGTTCGGTCGTGATCACGGAGCTGTGATTACGTGCCCATTGATGCTGAAGTTGTTTGAGAATCAGAATCCGTCGCATCTCCGACAACCTCCGCCGGAGAATCTCTTGCTCCGCCACGAGCCGGTTGTTGTCCGTGCTCACCCGTTGAATGTGGTACAAAACCACCCTGATCCGGTTCGTGAGTTCCCGGTTTTCAACCCCCAGCCGGCTCATCTGGTTCCTTAAGTCTTCGATGTGGTTTTGTTTACGCTTCCTCGACCGCCTTGCCGATTCCCGGTTTGATTCCATCCGCATCCTCTTCCTCCTCTCGTCGACCACCTGAAAAACCGTAGGGTCCGAAACCGGACCGTTCATTTCGGTCCGGTTATGGGTACACTCAGCCGAGCCGGTTATCAAGTTTTTCATTTCTCCCGAGTCCTGGTCATCATGTCGAGGGCTCGGCTTACCATCGAAAGCGTTGGTATAACCAGATCCAGAGTTCATTTCAATCGAACCGGCAATGGAATCGTCAGAATCGGGTTTTGTATTCCGAGAACCGGAGGTTTGCTTTACATGGTCTCCGGGATCATCAGAACAAGGGTCTGTCCCGGCCGGTTTGAGAGAAGACTCAATAACGGAGAAGAGATCAGAGCAGACCCAATCCCAATGCGTGAACCCGGTTTGGAAATCCGAGAAGGCCGGTTCAGCAATGGAAAAGGCCGGTACAGTAGACAACATGGCTTTCACACTACCAATATATTTTTTTGGTGGTAATAGAGAGATGAGAGAGAGATTAGAAGGGGAAAAGGGAAGAATTGCATTATGGGAGGCTGATATTTATGGGCGAAACGAGAGGGGTATTTTGGTCCAAGTCGTATATACGGTCGACGACTACTGTATTATACCAACTTTTGAGTCATGCGGCACTATGGTGGGGTTAAATTTGTACAAACTGCTTTTTGTTAAAGCCGGAAAACATATAGTTGTTGTTGGGACACCATATTCGGTCACTTGGCGTTCCCTACCAAATATATATTTTTTAACCTAATGTTTAAAATAACTTAGGGGTGAAGAAACAGTCCACATCCAGCACATGTCTTAGCCCATTCGCCATAACCTGTCGGCGAACTCTCTATATATATTTTTTCCATTCTAATGAACATTATTGGCATCACACACACACATACACGTGTGTGTGTGTGTGTATATAAGGCCTTTTAGAATTTTTATTTTCTAATTAAGAATTTGCTTGGAAATATAATACCTTCCACTTTCACGGAGGTAAACGGTTTTTTTTTTGTCAGGTTATGGACGGTACATTGTTATAAAAATCTTATATGGTGAATTTATCCTTTTGTTGATTAAAATAATGGAATGTCCTTTGATTATTCACATTTCATTTTTAGGTAGGGAATCTATAGGCTTAATAGAATAATCTAATATGGTTTGCATGAGACCATGCTTTGTAAAGCAAATCAATTACAGCCATATATATATATATATATATATATATATAGGGTTCGATCGACAGCCACATAATAAATGGAAAATATCTTTGGTTGTTTTAGAGGTTATGGGTCAGAACAACGGTAGCAACGGTCACATGAACTTACGTCCACAACAGGCAAAGCTTTCTAACCAGAATGCTGGGGTTTGGACTCACGTGAAAAATCAAAACTTTATTACAAAGATATCAATATCCCACAAAAATAATAATAATAATAATAAGAAAACACAATAATTCATTGAGTATTTTGTAGAAAAACAGGTGTCCTATAGAAAAGACACATATAGGGCTTCTCATACACGTCACATGAGTATGACGACCATGACCACGACCACCTCCACCTGCATGCAAATGGGATTTCACGTGGCCTTCTTCAACATGTATCGATACAAATGCGTGAGCAACTCATGTTAAAAGAGGATCTCAATATCTAAAATTACCGTATCTAATCGCTAATATCCACCGGAATTTGATATACCAAAGGCAAATCAAAGCTTTTCGTAACGTATTTGGCCCGGGACCAACCGGAGGAGAATGGGATCGGTTTGATGACCATCCTCGACGGTATCGACACGAAATTATCTTTATCTTCATGCCTATTTGAACAATTAGAATCCTTGATAATTCTAACACATGTTATATAAGAGGCTTATGTAATAAAATATCTCAAAAATTACATGTAAATGTATTATCAGATTTTAAATTAATGAGCAAGTGTAGGAATTTCTATTAATACCCCTTTTACACTTTTTTTTATTTTAAATAAATATATGTAGGATCAGTATTTATTTGATTTACCATAAACAATAAAATTCGATATATTCCGTATTTAAGACTCATTTTAGAAGAAATTCTTTACCCGTATATTAGTTAAAGAACTTCTCCTTCTCGGAAATAAAGCATATATGTTTCTGTTCTGATTCTTGTTTACAAGTTTACGCAATGGAGGAATTTAGAGTCTCGTTATATTCGAATGCATGCGTGAGTGCGTATATATATATATATATTATATACACACACGCAGAAAATAATTATTTAGACCGACTATATATATGTACGTATTGCATTAATATATATATATATATATATATATATATATATATATTAGTGGTGGTTGGATATAAAAAAATCAATGTGTGAATGTTGATGATATGGATATGTGGTCAAAGAGTGAGTCAAGTGACGTGATGAAGCTTTAATAATTTCGAAAAATATTGCTTTCAAGCGTCGGTCGCTAATGACATTGACAGCAGCGATGGCGATGCAAAGTTGCAGATATTAAATGAATGACAAGAAAATTCAACAATATTCTCCGATTAAAAAATAATGGTTCCACATCTTTATGGCAAATATTGTATGGTTAAGGATGGATCAACCGTGAGTATTTACGCTGGAGCAAGCCAAGCATATGTGGCATAACGAAATTAATTTACGAATACTATCTCTCATTTTGATGTCTATGTAATGAAATAATATGTGAATATATATATATATATATAATCTTTAATATGAAACTGAATTCTTGTCCAATTGTTGTGGCGGAGGCTACCTATATACCATGTTATTTATTTAGAAAATAATTTTTTCATCTTTTTTTTTTAATGGATACGAGAAGTTCTTTTAAGATATGAGAAAGTTATGGAAAAACAAATCAATGCCGAACAAAATATCAAATCAACAGGGTTTATTTCTTCTTTTTTTTTTGTGTTTTAAAAATGTAAAACATGCAGAATTCGACGTATGATCACTATCAATATCGTTAGTCTTGTCGTTGACTACCGTGATATGTAGAACCTAAATATAAAATTTCATTTTCGGAAAAAAAAAAATCAGGATATAACATTACACGAAATTTTTGTACCATAATAACTGAATAAAAAAGAATATATAAAAAAACTAATGATTAATCTTAAAAAATAATATATGTATATACATGAAATTAGGAACATACGAACTTATATATATTTTTGAAATTTTAGTCAAGGTTAATAAGTTTGAAAATATACGAGAAATACGTAGGGTGTCCAAAGACAGCATATCCGAGTTATCATGCATCGGATATATAATAATCTTCAAGATTCAAGAAACGCATATTCTGTCTCATTGAACTTGCTTAACAAGATAAGATTAAGATTAAGGTTAATGTTAAACTTTAACGGTGTGTTAATCAAAATGCTACATTAATTAAGAGTAATTAATACGCGTAAGTTTGGAAGGACACGACGGATGTGATGTGACGGCTCAAAGTCAAATAGTATTTTTTTCCCCCCTCTCTTCCCCTTTTTGCCAACGTGGGGTTCGGTCCAATGCCACCATTACGAGTTATTGTGGAAAAAGTCATTCATTACTCCCCCATTCCTTGTTTGATCGGTCCAACACCCACCTCCATTCACATTATATATATATATATATATATATATATATATATTTAAAATCAATTAACTGAATCTAAATTTAATATATATGAAAACTAATTAAAGGTAATTTTCCAAAACTAAGTTTCTCAGATTAAAAAACAATAAAACCGAAACCAAAATATGGCCACCAATAAATCGAGTTATATTTGTCCGACAAAAAACAAACAAAAAAACTATAGTTTTGTTTGTTTTTCTAAAAAAATAAATATATTTGACCAACCTCGGCTATAAATACGCTCGAAGAAGCCGAAGGTCTTATCAATATCTCCCCTCTCACCGTTTCAAGAAAAATCCTCTTCGAAAAGCGCGTACAATGGCCAATCTCTCCGCCCTGCTCACGCTAGCTCTCCTCGTTTGCTCCGCGCTAATGTGCGCCGCTCGCCCCGAGCCAGCCTTAACTGCCACCACTTCTCTGGTCAACAAGCTTCAGCTGGTTAGTTTCATACACGCGGTATATATACACATGCACACGCACGCAGGCACGCAAGTATACCGTACACGGATGTTCGTTCTATGTATATAGACACAGACATGCATGAAGATTCAAGAACAGAGAATATGGTTCGCTAATTATGTGTAGACTGGGATGAATTTATTGTAGGAGAAGACAGGAGCGAATGCAGATGACGTGGCAGAGGAAAGCTGCGGTGGAGAAGACGAAGATTGTTTGATCAGGAGGACTTTGGCTGCTCATCTCGATTATATCTACACCCAGAGGGAACATCGTCATTAGACTTTCTCTCCTACATATCTGTCTGTCACCCCTTCAGTTCATATATACGTTTGTGTCCAAAACCCCAAGTGCCCGTATATATATACATAATGACTTGTTAAGTGTTTTCTCTTTGCCATTGATGCTACGGAATCAAGAACAATAGACAAAATACACAGTATATACGACAAAAGTTTTATGCATCATCAAACGAGTACACAATCATGTAACATGGCTAAAGCGTTACAAAACATATACCATATACTCTCATGTGTTACTTGTTGTAAAAAAAGGTTATGCTTGGAATCAATTGATAAGAGAGGCGAAGATATTTAAATGACAATCGAATAGAGAGTAGGGTTGATTTTAAGAATAGAGAAATCGAATTCCAAAGTCATTATTAAGGGAATGGGTTATTTTAAAATATTTATTACTAACAAATTCTTAAGGTAATAGGTGGTTGGAATTCCTAAATCTATTTGTATATTAGATTTTTATCATCTAGGTACATGGATATCAAAATGGAGTGGATTATTTTAACTCAATACAATAATAATTAGATACGGGTTTAGATTTTTGGGTCTGTAATTATACAGTGGCCAACCCATTGCAATGGTTGGTTATATGGGCTTGTCTGAAAGATGACGAGGTTATAAGTGAAGAAGCAAATATTTGCGAGAAGAGAAAACTTGGTCTGTCCAAATCTGAAAGGGGAAGAATATATCCATCGTCTCGAGCACATGTACTTCGTTACCATCTCGTCTCTCTCATTGTTTTGAATGTGAAAGTTCCCAGGGAATTTTAAAATAATAATAATAATAATAATCCAAAATCGCACCTCGAAATATACTTCTGACCAGAAATGAATGAACCCTAGAGATACAACAACAGTGTCTGATGTCTTCCTCAACAGGAGTCTGGATATACCCGTCGAAGCCTTTCACTCATCTTTTCCTTTGCCTTTACTCTCCGAGGAGGCCTTATCAGAATCATACGCAGAAAGAAAGAAACCGCTCTGATTCTTCTGGAGAAACCTGCACATCATTCAGCATTCACGAGAACCGACATTCGATTACAGAGCGGAAGAGGCGATAAAAGGGACACAGATCGATACTTGAGGAAGTCAACTAGTGTTTGCTGCAAACGGGTCGACGTCTCCTCTTCGATATTCACATATGCTAGAAGCTCCGGAAGCTTAACTGCACGTACATGGGTGTTTTGTTACCTGTGGAAAGCCTCAACCTATCCAAAAAAGTTGTGTACCAATCTGAGATCATTGGTTTACATGTGAGGCTTACTTACCAAAGAGACGAAGCAAATGCTCAGCACCGTAAACAGTTGACGGGGAAACATCATTTACTATTGCATCGTGGTATTGTTGCCGTTCTTTCTTGTATAGAAGCATCATCGAGAGCGCCTTGTCGAAATAACACCTTATTCCTTTCAAGATTTCCGCAACAGAATCAGCTACCCTGCATAGAAAAACAATCCTTCATCCGCTACCAGACGCATGCCATGAACAGTCAGTAAATTTGCAGTCAAATATGTAACTCACATGCCATCCTTCTTTGTCCTTTGCTCAAGGTACTTGGACAATATATCATCCACATTGGGCGAACGGGGAAGTTTAACAAGCTACAAAGGCAAAATTATGAGTATCAACAGACCTTGAAATGATCTCCTACTCCTCATAACGATGGGAAGATGGTAATAACAACATCAATTAGCCATGCAAAAGAAGTTTTTTTTAGGTATAGTACACCGAACATATCTCAAGCAGATAGCTAAACTCTATACCACATCCCAAAGCACATGCATAGAAAAAGAACAGAAAAACACCTTGTCTTTCTGAGTAATATATTCCCAGTCGTCAACAAGCTGTTTCTTTAGAGTTGCAGGAATTTGGATCTTGTTCAGCTTCTCCATAGATGTGTTATCCTTCTAATGGTCATTGAGCATACATCAATCAAACTATATCAGCGTGAAAAGAGCTAAGCTAACATGAATGATGAACCTGTTTCGAAGACATTCATTTATATGCATATGAAATTCCAAACACGTCTGTCAGCCAGTTTCATGTCAAGAAAATTCTTAATAACACTAAAAGGTCAGGAGAAGGATCTGGTTTATATGTCATCATGTAAGTAAAACTAACAAATATAAATGGGTAGGGTACGTATCTCTCGATTATCTACAAGTCTGACCTCATTGCCTGACTCGATCTTTCGTTTCTTCCCCTTTGCAGCTGCAACAAACATACATGTTATTATTATCTAATCGTGCTTTGTAAAACTTTCAGACATCAAACCCAGTTCTATGATACTCTTAAAGAGATATCGATATAAATGCTATTTTACTTACGAAGGAAGAATAATTGTACGTACCATTGTTCTTTGTGTCATCTTTGTCCATTTTTGCATCTACATGACCACAAAATTTGTTTATTAGATGAGTCAACATTTGGAAACATAGATGATTACTACGTGATTGCTGGCACTCGAATGTGACAGCTATAGACAAATCCATTTCAGCAACACAGAACATGCACACGCAGAACCTTAAATCAAAGAACTATAATAGACGATCTTGCCAAACATTCTCCTGCAAAGATGCCTGAACCAAGCCATGGGGCAGGGAGGCTATCTTCTGGCTCAATCTATTATCACGAACATAAACTTACCACCAGAGCTCTTGGCTTTAGCCTGAGCTGAACGGCCGGACTTTGTATTCTTTTCTACTCCTTGCTTCTTGTTGAGAGCTTGCTGCTTCATAATGTTCTCCTCAGTATGTTTCAACAATCTCTCTGCACCAACCCATTCATCCCAACTGTGGGCAAGATATCCAAGTCATGTGTGTTGATTAACTAAAATTTTCTATAAACAAAAAATGTTGGACCAACCAGGGGCTCCAGTTAGACACTAAAAAGACCAGTATGCACTCTGGCCTTCACATACCTAGAAGAATAAATATAATCTGATTTGTCCATACTAGGTACACAGTTACACGTGATTAAACAGTTACGTGACCAGCGTAATATATAATATCGTAGGCTTTTAGGTGATTAAATACACTACTCTCAACAAAACACACATAAGGCCCACAAAAAATAGACGTTTAAGGATCCAAAATGGATATAATTGGACTGACTAGGAAACAAACAGAGAAACCATCCAGTTCACCGCTGAACTGAGTACCTCGCTTTGTTAGCTACGTGAACCAGAATAGACATGAGAGCACAGAGATACTCACTTTTTGTTCCAACCCTGCAAACACACATTGCTGTATCACTTAATACTGTAAGATAAGGTCAGAAGTTCTCAGTATCAGATTCTTGAACAGAAATGATTTAGCCACGTTTTTTAAAACTCGGGCGATCAAATATTGAGAATGGAAGTACAGTAGCCCAGAAGAGGGAGGCCTCACGAGATAGTGAACGAAGTACTTCCACTCCTTTTTGCGAAGTTCAACTTTTTGAATCTGAAGAAAAACATTCAACATAGATTAGTCTAAGTCACTCCGAAAAACACCACAGAGAAACTGAAGGTTTAACTCAACATGGACATAAATTTCCAGTGCAATTCAGTAACCAAAACCCAGAACCCGCTGCAAGAGCATAGGGTTAAGATTGGAAAAGTAAACCCTGCTTCCCAATTTTACCAGGCAGTGTCACCTGAATTCTCGGACAAGGTGAAAGTTCCCACAAGCATTTTAGTTCATTTTAATCTTAAAGGGGGCATAAATCGAACATCTATGAGAATCAGTTTCCATGAATGCAGTAAGCAAAGCACCGAAGAACAGTCGTTCCAAATTTTAATCCCACCAAGCAAACCCTAAATTATCAACCCAAACAAACCGATACTAATATCCATTTCCAACAAATCAAACTGGTCAAATCGCGCCATAACACAAAACCATTGCCAAGAGAAATGCTAAAATCGCAAAAGCAAGCACAAATCTGGAGAATCTCCAGAAACTTAACCAACGTGAACAAAGCACGATATACAGGAAACCAACAGAAAACGGAGAGAGAGGGAGAATCTTGCCTTGGCTTCGTAGACGCGAGGACCATGGTAAGCGAGAACACGCTCGCCCTCCGAGAAGAGACTGCCATCGTTGGAAGGCGACGCGCCGCCGCTCGAGGTCTCGCCGTCGGTTGCCGTCGGTTCCTTGGAAGAGCTTCCCATTGTCAGCGAGTGAGAAAGAGATCTCACCCAAACCAGGCGTGAGCCTCTTGTGAATTTACAATCAAACTGGTCCCCTGAATTTCCATAATTACCTGATTAATTAAGGATTTAATCTTGATAATTATGGATTTCCCAATTCAGCCCCGTAACTTTTTGTGCGTTCACAGTCACCCCTAACAACCAATATCATTTTTTATCGGTAAAAGGATATAACAAATCGTTACATCAAACTTAAACGGGTAATGAATATCCAAATTGATTCAAATAATCAACAAATGATAATCGTATCCTTGTATTGCTTCCATATTCCTACCTACTAATTAATGATTCTGGAATAATGGATTAATTAAAAAACAAAATAATTAAATAAAATATTATTTTTTTGGTGAAGTAAATAAAATATTATTCATTCATCGTGTTGTGATTTACCTAAAATCTTGGCATACAACGCCACGTAACATAACGTTTGAATGTTATTCACGAAATACACACATCAACACCAACAGTAACATTTAACACATCATATATATATAGTAAAAATCACATGTCAAAAACAGAGAGTTGTGGGACAAGGGCACGAGCTTTGCAAAGGGCATGCAATGGCGTGGCTTTGGGCATGTTGGCGCCTTTGCCTTCGGTCATATCCACAAGTTCTGGACCGATCCTCTCCCACTCGAAACACTGAATCAAAGAACCAAGAGCCAGGCTCAGAAGCCGCTGAGCCAGTCCGGAACCGGGGCACGCCCTTCGTCCCATCCCGAACGCCATCAGCTTCTCCGCCTCCCCTTCCTTCTCGAACCTCTCCGGCCTATACGTCATCGGATCTTCCCACAGCTTTGGATCTCTGTGTATCGCCCACGCGTTCACCAGTAAGATCGTGCCACGTGGCATATCGTAGCCTGCAACTTTGCAACGCTCCGACGACATGTGAGGAACCAGCATGGGAACTGCTGGATACAGACGCAATGTTTCGTAGATTATGTTTCGGAGGTAGGGCAAATTCGAGATGTCCTGTTCGTCCATTAGCCGGTCCGAACCGACTTTCTCATCGATCTCGGATCTCGCCTTCCTCAGTATCTCTGGATGATTCAGCAAGTTGGATAACGCCCATTCCAATGTCACTGCTGATGTATCCGTCCCGGCAAGTATCATCACCTGTCCATTGAACTTCATCATCAGATTTCTTCTTCTTACATGTATATATATACATGACGTTGTGTTAATACTTACGATAATAAGTCCTTTGATTATTCGATCATTGTAGTAATCAGGTTGGGATTCTTGGAGAGAAAGCAAGTGGTGGATCATGGTGTTACCCTTCTCCTCCTTTTTCTCGTCGATCAATCTCTGCAAGAAATCATCCATCTCACTGGCCATCTTCTTGACCCGTTTTTCGAAATCGGTGACCCAACGCAGCACCGGTAAATAGTCCGCCGCATTTCCAGCTCCGCCGCTGCCTATGACCGCCGCGATCAGCTGGCTCACACGTTTCGCCTCCTCGTCCTCCTCTGCTCCGTCGCCATAGTAACGTTTTCCGGCAACCATCCTGATGACGTTGTTGAACGTCAAGTCCGTAAACATCGATTTCAACTCCACCTTCGCAAATCTCTGACCATAATTACCGAAACAAATACAATGAGAATTTAACCAAAAAAATAAAAGGGAGGACCAGGAAAATGTACACCAATTTAGATCACTTACGTGTAAAGAGTGACGGGAGAGACGCTGTATGAGCCGTCGGATTTCGTCCTTACGGATGTCCGAGAAGCTGTTAAGCCTCTGAGAAGAGAATATCTCGACGGCGCCGATTCGCCGGAGATTCCGCCAGTGGTCGCCGTACGGTGCCGCGATCATGGTGGTGTTATCGTATGCCATGTGTTTGGACATGATGAAATGTGGCCGATTGGCCAAAACGACGTCGTTCCTCGTGAAGCATTCCTCGGCGATCGAGTAGGAGGAGACGACGAAGACGAGACGGTTGCCGAGACGGAGGGAGAAGATCGGTGCGCCGCCGAGGGATTCGGAGAGGCGGAGGAAATTGCGATAGAGCGGCGGCTTCAGGCGGTGGAGGTGTCCGATCACCGGCAGAGATTTCGCCGGAGATGGAGGGAGATTCGGCTTACGATTCCTTCTCCGGAGGAAGAATCCGAGAGAGAGAGAGAGGAAGAGCACTGAGAAAACCAGGGTTTGCGCTTCCATCTCCTTCCGTGGGATTTATGTGATCGATATAATATATTATTATAATGGTCTTTGGTGTTTAAATACATAGAGAAAGATTGCCAAACTCAAATTTGATTCCAATTAGTGATGATGTTTCACTTTCAATTTTTATCCTCATTGACTCGTAATTATAACTTGTCGTTAGAATTATATCCAAATATAAACTATATAAATAATAATAGCTTAAAACAACCAAAAAATGTTAAAATATTACAATTTTATTTTTTCCCCTTAAAATATGTCAATATTCGCTCTTTTTTTTTTTAATATATAGGTTTTATATGTTACCAAAAAAATATCAAAAATAGCATTGGGAAAGCTACCAAAAAATCCCTTTATTTTTCCCCGTTAAGAAGACGGCAAAAGGCTCAGCAAATACGTATGCGGAGGACAATTTAGTTTTTGCTTCCATCTTTTGGTCTGAAAAGTCAAAGGCACGGTCTTTTGTTTTGACCACAAACGGAGAGAGAAACACATACATAGACCAAAAAAAACATAGGAGACTCCCATTGGCGAGCTCCTTGTCCTTAAAACACAATGGCGGTAACATTTATTAACACATCATATACATATATATATATTATATAACCATTCAGTTTTCGTTTAATCTTATGGTCCGAAAAGTCAAAGGCATGGTCTTTGACCGAAGACCCTTGTACTGTACAAGTTGTACCTGCATAGACAACAACACACTGCAGGTTTTGATCACCAGAAATCACCACAAGAACAAGAACCATCTACAAAATGGTGGAACCTGTTCCTGTCTCTCATCACAATCTTTCTTCCCGTGATCCTCGATATCAGTTTGGTCGCATTATGACAATCCAAACACACCCTTAGATTCTTGAAGATTCTCAGAGGAGTTCCAGCTTCTGTGGTGATCAATCCATATGCAATCGCGAGTTTCTCGCTGTGAACTTGCAGAGATCGTTCCTTCTCGGACTCTCCAAGATCCTGCAGAACTATATGCGTGTTCGGAACATAACCACATGATCTGAGACTGTCACTGATCTTTCTTACCATCGCGTAGATTTCTCGGCTTCTCGAGTGTTTTCTGTCTCCAGCTCGAAACTCATGAACTTTGTTATCGATTTCCACGCTACTTATTCCGGGTTCCTTCTGTATCCCTTTTGCCTTCATCAAGTTCCTCACTTTGGCCACACCTTCAAAATCCCCCACCGATGCATACATGTTCGATAGCATGACGAAGATTCCTGAATTCGTGACATTTTGGCCAATGAGGTACTCAGCAATCTCCTTGCCCAACACGAAATCTCCGTGAAGGCTACAACCTCCAAGCAAAGCGCTCCATAGAACAGTATCTGCCTCAATTTTCATGCTTTTCACCATTTCATATGCTTTCTTTAACTTCCCAGCACGAGCCAGAAGGCTCACCAGGCACCCGTAATGCTCGATTTTGGGTTGGATCCCATATTCATCTCGCATCGACATGAAAAAGGCGAGCCCTTGATCTAGAAGGCCAGCATGAGCACATGCATTAAGTACTCCAATATATGTTATATCTGTCGGCTGTAATCCTGTCCTAAGCATCTCATCGAACAATCTTAACGCGTCATGGCCATAACCATGCATCGCATAGCTGACAATCATGGTGTTCCATGCCACGGCATCCTTCCTCGGAGTTTTCTTGAACACTGACCAAGCATCATCCAAGCTCCCACATTTGCTATACATATCAACCAGAGCCGTGCATATCCGAACATTAAGCTCGATGTGACGGTTCTTGATAAAAGCATGGATCCATCGCCCAGATTCGAGTGCGCCTATCTGCCCACAAGCCGAGAGAGTTGCCACAAGGGTTACTTCGTCGGGTTTTGGTTTTTCTTCCGCTAACATTTTCTGGAAAAGCAAGAGAGCCCCACCTGGAAACCCTAGCTGTGTGTACCCATCAATCATCACGTTCCAAGTCACAACGTCTCTCTCACGCATTTCGTCGAACAAAGATCTCGCAGCCTCTAGGTTTCCCTGCTTCGTGTAGCAGGTGATCATAGCCGTGGAAGAAACGAGACTTCTGTCAGGCATTCTGTCGAACACCTTCTGAGCGGATAAAACATTGCCTGTTCTCGCGTAGAGATCGACGAGACCCGTCGTTACGTATGCATCTGAACCGAACCCGGATTTGAGGACATGGGCATGGATCGCCTTCCCGGACTCAACAGAGCAAGTCTTCAAAATGGAGGAGAACGTGAATTCATTGGGATCGACGTTGGCAGAAAGCAATTGAACGTAAAACAGCAAAGCTTGATCATGGAGGCCGTGAACAGAGACAGTGTTGATCGCGGCAGAGAAGAGGAACACGTCGGGACTCGGCGTCTGATGGAAGATAGCCAAAGAATAGCGAATTCGGCAATGTGAAGCGTAAGCACGGTGGAGCTTGAGGTTCAAAACCGGGTAATGGTGGAGGAGGAGGTTATGGCGGAGGATAGCAGCGTGGATTTGGAGAACGTGGTCCACTGATTTCGACCCGTCGATAAGGCTGCCGAGTTTCTCCGGCGGCGGAAGACCGAATTTTCCGGCGGGGACGGAAAACGAAGACGGTGCGGTTAACTGTTGTCGCGGTGCCGAGGCGGTGGCGAGGGGTGCCGAGGCCATCTCCTCCAGGCCGCGACGAAAACGGCCAATGAGTTGAGGTTATGGAAATATATATAACACTAACAAAATTCCATTTTTTTTTACCAAAAATCTTAAATCCGGCCAGGCGTAAATTTTGTTCAGGCTTACACTTCAATATAATTTGACAAGTTAATACTTAATTATCCATTTAAATCGGTTATCTGATACTAATTACACTGGTTACGGTTACCAAAAAAAACTATACTGGTTATTCTGGCACAATAACCGGTACAATTAGTATCGAAGAATAACCGGTTTAAAATCGGCTATTGAACAAACCGTGGCACTACGGTGTCCATCTTCTCCGATCCGACCGGAACTTAAACTGACTGATACGACGACGTTTCATACGTTAGCCTCATTGCGTTGAACAACCACCATTGTTCCGCTGTATCTTAATAATTTCCTCATAATAAAAAAATAAAAATAAAATATCAGCAAGGTAGAGAAAGTGCATGTTTGAAATTTATTGAATCATTAAAACTGGTTTTGATTTAATGATGGAAGATCCCAACATCAAACGTGGAAGCGTCGGAGAAAGGGAAACCAATAAAAACCGAATCCGAAGGACATCTTCTCCCTTTTCTCGTTTCGAATTCCCGCCCTCCTCCTTTCTCTTGGACGTTTCTGAACACTGCTCGAGATCGAGATCGAGAGAGATTTGATTCGGAGTTCGCACTATCGCACGATCAGAATTTCTTCTCCGGAAGCTAAGATGAGAGCCAATGTCAAAGGAAAATGGCGATTCAGCTCGAAGAGGCTAGGTTTTCCGTACGTTTTCGTGGCGTGTACTTTCTTCTTCGTCATCGGTTTCTCCTTCTCCAATCTTCTCTCTCAGGTTCGCTCGTTCCCATTTTTCTTTTTCCTTCCTCCTCTGATCTTCGATCACTCAGTTTTTTCTCTCCCCGCCAACGCCCTTGGTTCAAAGTTCAATTCTGTTTAATGTGATCTGCAGGGAATTTCCGGCGAGAATCCGAGACGAAGATCAGTGCGAGAGGAGAAGGATGTGTTCGATCCCATGCCTCGTGGAGAAACAGGGAATGATTCTGTCGCCAAGATCCCATTCCAGGTTTGTTCAGGTTACGCATTAGAGCTGCATCGTTACTGGCTTAGTTAGAAATGTCACCACAATCATGTTTCTGATCCTTTACATCCTTGTTCTGCAATCCTTCATGCAAGAGAATCGAGCAAGAGAGACATTCTACGAGAATGATCATTCTGTTTCGAAGTTGTGATAATTAAAAACATGTTTTCATTTCCAAATTATTTTCTGAACCCACTGAGCTGCTCGTATGGTTAGGTTTATGTTCTTCTTCGCTTGCTTCAGTCTTATGACTGAAAAATATTTGATCTTGTTTGTGTAATCTGGGTAGCTCAGGTTTTGAGCTGGATGCCTCGAGCTCTTTACTTCCCGAATTTTGCTACTCCAGAACAATGCCAAAGCATAATCGATATGGCAAAACCCCTTCTTAAGCCCTCACGGTTGGCCCTAAGAGAGGGCGAGACGGTCGAGAATACACAAGGAGTTAGAACAAGGTACAACACGTCGGCCATTTTCTTGACTTCACTTTATTAGAAATCTTGTTTAAAACCTATTATGTCATACGTTTACATTCTCGCATGTAATGGAACAATGATCAGTTTTGCAAGACATCCAAGATTTTGCTGTGGTCTGGAGAATCTTGGATTTTCAGAAGTGGTTATCCCTTTGTTCTGCAGAAATTTTTCCCATTTTCTATTCTGATAGCCGAGTTTTCATCTCTTTTTTCCTCTCCATTATCTCTTTCTATAAGAATCTTGAATGACTGTGGACTGAATGTTGTGAACATTGAGATGATGATATTATATAGAAGCTAGAAACCGATTTAACATTTGCATTCTTGTGCATAAGGGGGGTCTGACCCTTGTGAATCTCTAGTGTTCTAACCTTACAGCTTTCTTTCCTGCAGCTCTGGCGTGTTCATTGGTGTTAGTGAAGACAAATCTGGGCTTTTAAAGGTCATCGAGGAGAAAATAGCAATGGCCACAATGATCCCTACAGATAATTACGAAGTAAGCTATCGATTTTCACAATATAATGCGACCAGAATATGCATAAGGCGACAAGACTCAAAATATTGAAGCAGAAAATCTCCTAAAAGACTTGTCATGCATCTCTAGTTATATATATACACCTGCCATTGCTACATCAGCAAAGTCACCATCTTCATGTTTTTCCAGACTTGCGAGTATCTTTTGCGTCATTTCACACACGTCAAAGCTTAAATGGAATTAGAGTAACCATCTTTCATCTCTTGTTTTGTTCTTTTGTCGTTGTTGTTGTTAAACTTATCGTGTAAAGTTTGTGTCATCATGTTTCAGGCGTTCAACATCTTGAGGTATCAGCTTAATCAGAAGTATAGTGCACACTATGATGCGTTCAACCCTGCCGAATACGGACCACAGAAAAGCCAAAGGGTATCATGAAAGATCCGAGCTTTTGCTTTATTGTTGAGTTTCACTCCTTGCCGAGACTCAAAGACTTCAATTTGAATCGATGTTTTCTTTTCTGCAGGTCGCGACTTTACTGTTGTACTTATCAAACACAGAGGAAGGTGGGGAAACAATGTTCCCGTACGAGGTAATAACCTCCGTATTTATTCTACAGTTCTCTCTTCCGTTCTATGCCCGGGTTTCGAGTCTGGAACCGATGATCTTTCACGATGTAGAACGCAGGAAACATGGACGGAAACTATGATTATGAAGAGTGTATTGGCCTGAGAGTAAAGCCACGGCAAGGAGATGCTGTTCTTTTCTACTCAGTGTTCCCGAATGGCACGATTGATGCAGTGAGACGATCGGAGCATCACCTATATGTTTTTCATATTTCTGTGTTTTCCATTGTTGATTTCTCTATGAATCTGTTTTTGCAGACCTCCCTCCATGGAAGCTGTCCAGTGATCAAGGGGGAGAAATGGGTAGCTACCAAGTGGATAAGAGATCAAATGTATGAAGATTTTGCAGACTGACCCTGCAAACGCATGCTCAAGATCTCATAGCCGATTCTCTCTGGCATTTGGTCGCTTTATTATATGCAGATTTTACATGCATATATATTTATATAAACAGATTTTGCATATGGGTATTCAAGGTGAAGGGTGGATGACATCAATAAAACTCCTGGCTATTGGATCATCAAAAGTGAAGCAAAACAATCTTTCTCTTACTCAGAAAAGGTTCCAGAAATTCGCTTCAAGCTGCAGAAAGATAATGATTCCCTAGACCCTAAAAAAAAGAATCAAATAATAAGATTTTTGGATTTGTTGATGCTTTACTCTTCCCTCATAAACTAAACCTAGCTGTTGAGAAGATGAGGACTGAGGCACGACAGGTAAATGCTTAACTACAGTTACATCTCTCTCTCTGAGAATTTCCATGCTTGGATGATGGCTACAGCTTTCAGGATGGATCATTCCAAAGATATCTGGTGAGGCACTTACTTGTATCCTTCCTTTGTTTTTGCATATTTCTGATGATTGGCCATTTGCTTTTGGTTTACAATTTTCAAAGTCCAGCTTTTAGATCATAATTTGTGCCAATCTTGGTGAGGTGGCTTTCCCCAACGTCTCAACGAAAATATGCATCCGGATGCGATGAATAAAGAAACGGCACTGGATGCCATCATCGTGGAATTCTCGATCCTGTGGCCGTATCCTCTCTGCAATAAGGTGAAATAAATCCAATGCAGGTCATGTTTACAATTCAAATATCGATTGCCGGAACTACAAAATGAAAAAAAAAAAGAGGCTAGCCTTCATACCTGTATCAAGCAAAACAGAACAGCTGCGTTGGCTGGGACCTGAGAAAGGCTCATCATTCCTCCTCGTAATTCATTCGGCACATACCTGTAGATTTGAATAGCATACACCGAAGATAAAAAAAAAGCGAGGGACTTTAGTTCCGCCCATAAGCTAAAAATTGTAAAATCAGAATATGCATCGACATATTACATTGTCCTTAATCTTGCAAGCAAAGGCAGCATCAGTCCATAACCTCCATGAAATAAGCAGAAAAGTACCACTAAGAATCCAACTTCCTGAAGAAAATGTTTCAACCCCATAGGTCTTCAGCATATATATAGAAGAAGCTCTGTCATATACATACATATATATATACATATGTATATTCCAAACTATCGGATAAATTACCTGATAATCATATGCTACGATAGATAGCACAATCCCAAGTATGGCGTAAATGTATACCAAGCAATCTTCAGCTCTGAGCAATGACTCTCCACTGAGGAGCCATGGAAAGACTGTACTCCCGAGCATCCTTGCACCCAACAGGCATGTGTATATCAATCCTAGATTCACTTCTCGCCCATCAGCCTGTGCCGACATAATTCAACTCGATCTTAAGAAAAAGATAAAGAGCTATTCATCTTCTTCTCTAGTCTTAGTGGTAAAAATGGTCTTCAAACATAAGTATCAATCCCGCTGATTATCTTAACTAAATCACCAAACTATCCTTTGATTCTGTTTGTGTGACATATGCTGGAAACTTGATCATACCACCATCGTTGGAGCCCAAAGAGTCCAAAAGACCGCAATTGCAAACTGGAGGCAAGCTTGTGAAGTTCCCAGAAGCCAAATTCTGTTATCTGATCGATCAGCAACAGCAAAATATGAATAGCCTATACTCTCCCTCAAATTTTGAGAAGCTGGGAGGGAAATCAGACAGACCCTTACCACCAAGAACATATGAACAGAAGGCTGTGGTATAATCCCTAAATGCCAAAGTCTTCAAGGATCCTTTTGCAGTCCGGAAAATAGAAATAATGGCCACCAAAGACAATAACAAGGATGCCGTAGCAGAAGATGCTATCCCGCGCTGATTATTATTATCTGCGAGCCAATTTGCCAGCACTTGACTTCCGATTAGAGAAGCAGATTCGAGGAAACTCATCAACCAAAATGTGTCATTCAACGAGTGGTTCCTTTGACTTTGCTGCAGAAGACACAAGGCACGGGACATATTAACAAACAAAACCTCAAAAAACTATATCTTGTCACTGATTCAAGATCAATGAAAGCTCCCTATTTGGCCAATAAGAACTGAAAAAAATGTTCCGATGCAAACCTTTTCATGTTCCACAACCATCCATGTCTCGAACCCAAAAGAAAACATGAGGCTGGAAAGAGAGAGGCAAACATTCACGAACCAGGCAATTGGGCTCCTGGTGATCCTCTTCCATGCCCCGACGACGAAGTGCAATACACAAAAGAGCAGACAGATTTTCTGATGACCTCTACAAAAGTTCCAACTGTTATATTACTGCACCATTATGTTTCAAATGTTGAACAGAAGTGAACATAATCAAAAGAAATCATGAATGCAAAACCGCCGTCTCCCCATTTCCTAAAACCAATTCAATGAACTTCACATCAACATTATTCCGTCTTGTTCATCTTCTCAGATCACCACTAACCCTGGCATCAGCAAGAACAAGAACTAATAGCAAACCACTTACATGAGATCAGAAAGCACACCAAGTACAGGACCGGCTATGAGAATGGCTGCGCATCCAACGCACAGACAAAAAACCATGGATTCCTTTCTTACGCCATAATACGCTAACTCGAAATCTCCGAACACCGACCATAGGCCTTCCACCACTGAAAAAAATCTCACCAAAAGGTTAACAATGAGGACATTAGCAGTGATCCATTTCAAAATTTCAACACAAAATCCTTCTCCGCCAATTCAGATGCAGCATTTCTGTTCACACATTTGCACATACCTGAAGAGAGAGCGTAGATGAAGAGAAACCATCTCTGGAAGCGAACGAAAGAAGAGGAAACGCCATGATCAAAGCTTCCAAAGGTTCTGCTTTTGGCGTAGTACGGCAATAGAAGTATCGAGAAGAAGGTGCAAACGAAGAAGAAGACAAACACAGAGGGGCTCGGTTCCCAAACTGAGCTCTCGATCACCACCCCCATTGATCCGAAGCAACCGGATATTGAAAATTTTCTTCAGATCGACGACCGATTAAATAAATGCACAGCGATCAGTTCTTCAAAAAAAAAAAACATATGAAGCCTCTGGTTCAGCTGGAAGGTCAGTTCGGCCCAAAGGCCCGTTAGCCCATAGGCCCATCAGAATCTTCCATGGCTGTCCGCCAATATATAACTACCACATTTCGCGTTTTCCTCTTTGGGAATTAGGGTTTCGGTCCCCCTCCTGCTTTAATCGTCCGGAGAGAGATTGTAACTGATTATTATTTAGTTAAAAAAAGTAAATATAAAGTTACAGTTTTTACAATATTAAAAAAATTACAAAATATTGTTTCCATTAGACAAAACAAATTAGAGATCCATTACAAAAATTACAAAATCATTATAATATATCAAAACTGAAAATAGAGGGATACAAAAAACTAAATTTAGTGTTGTAGAGATAGATGGTTAATAGTGGGAACAATTGTTAGAGATAATCGTGCTAGTATACTATGTTATTTTCCGAAATTTTTCACTTTATGGAGAAATTGAGATTTTAATATACATGGGAACCATTATGCAAATTGTAAATTTTTTACTTACTCTATTTAACATCTAACCATCATTTCATTATTTCCATTTGGCATCAGTATATATGTCACTTCTCAATAATTGGTTTATATTCTATTTTGTAACTATTAAATAAATGCCACTGGCCTTGATGATGCGCCTCATATATATATATATATATATGTATAGTCCAATGGAAAAAGGTCTGATGAATAATTAAATTGATTAAATGTTTCTTTTATACAGATATTTAATTAACAGACGGCCAATTCCATTTGGCGATCCCTTTTTTTGTGAGTGGATTCTCACGGTAATGCTGATCTTATACTCCAAATTGGACAAAATATCATTGATTTTTTAACTTATTTTTTTATAATCAGATCGAATTTATAATTAACCATATTACTCTCCAGTCATGGGATTAGAACATGCCCAAGTTGACAGAGAACAATCAAGCAAGTATTCTACTGTTTACATTTTTTTAAATCTAAATCCACTAAATATATCACAAATTAGCCATTCAATATGACTATACCATCAAAATTGTTGCCATTTCGAAAAAAAATATATATTTTTATATATAACTTAGTAATTATGGAGATTTTCCATATTATGTTTATAAAAACCTAAGAGTTTTATTGGGGAAAATACGTTTATACATTTAAATTCAGTTATTTCTAATATATATCACATATATAATCAAAATAACCAAATAAACTTATAATTTTAATTATAATGAGTTTCCATTCCACGAAATTCGTAAGACGCGGGAGAGAGAATCTAAGAGCG